CAGCCAACCAAATGTAGTGCAATTCTAGGCGCTAAACCATGCTTGCTACCGTACGTGCATGTTGGGTCTTTGAATAGAATGCGCTGATGATCAGGTTTCAATGTTTTTTGTTGTGACACCAGGGCCTCAGAAGTCAGCGAAAAAAGGCTGATTTAGGGTCTGGACGCTGATTTCCCAGACATATGGCTGATGTGTTGGCTGATAATTCAGTTTTTTTTTAATTGTGTTGGCTGATTCTTCAGGTTTTTTTTTTAAGTATTGGCTGATTTTCCAGCGTTTTTTTACAAGTGTCCGCTGATTGATCAGACTTGTAACGAGAGTGTAGGCTGAACTCACGCTATTACAGATTCGTGCCGGAGCCGTGTTTTTCGGCTGTCCAGGTACATCCACCGTCAATCACGCAAAAGTAGCCACGTACAGCGCCGACGCGGCGGGAAAACGAATTTCCCCGACGAGTCGGTTGCTTCGTTGTCACCGACAGAATGCTTCAATTGATGTGATTGGTTGTTTAACCAATCGCATCCCTTATGCGCCAGGGTCGTCGCTAGCAGAAATTTTCTGTCTGTTTGTCTTATATTCAGATCGAGTTTTTAGAGTTCATCTGATTTTTCAGAAATTTGTTTTTGTAATTTCTGATTGATAAGGAGTAGTTTTTTAGTTTATCTGATCAATCAGGTTCTAGTTTTCGTTTCGTCTGATACCGAATCCAACTATGTAGGGGTGAATATGGGATTCGAGTTGTGAATGGGCGAATCTGATGCGTCAGGAGGCGAATCTGTTAGTGTCAGGGGGCGAATCTGTTAGTGTCAGGGGGCGAATCTGCTGTGTCAGGGGCGAAATTGTTGTTACGGGACGAATCTGCTGTGTCAGGGTGACGGTGAATCTGCTGTGACGGTCCGAGTTTGCTGTGAGGGGGTGATTCTGCTGTGACTGGTCTAGTCCGAATCAATTGCGTCAGACTTGCATTTCGAAAATATCTGATACATCAGACACGGTAAAAAACAGAATCAGATGGATCAGACGGGCCCGAAGGTCCCGTCTGATCCATCAGGAGCCCTCAAATCCTAGCGACGACCCTGTTATGCGCCATTCACCAACCACCAGGGCAGCACAGCACAGCACCTGCTAAACTTAATGAACAAAGTGCTTAAACATAGATCAGCCTGTCAAAATGAGGAATGATGATGCCATTGATGTTGGTTGGGGTACATATAAGAAACCCTAACTTCTGTACCCCCTAAGACAAACCTCACTACAGGCTACAACATTTGACACACCCCCATAGCCTAAGTGAGGGGTGTCTAGCAAAATAAAAAAGAGTACGGTCACAAGACCAGTCCAAAAGAAAACAAAGCTCAGGGTGGATCACAACGTCACCACACTCTCTGAGCACAAGCAACAGTGGCCACAAGGCCAGTCCAAGAGATCACAAGTATATATAGCAAGAGTACAGACAAAGCAGGCAATAAACTCAAGCCTACACATGACTAGAACCTGTGTCAACAAGGCCTAACTGCACACAACACCTCTGGTGGTCACGAGGCGGAAGCGCCTTGGTGAAGATGTCTGCAGTGTTGGCCTCGGACTCCACAAACTCGAAGCGAGCCTGTCCACGTCTCTGCAACTCTCGCAGAAGAAAGTACCTGACGTGAATGTGCTTCACTCTGCTCTCCAGTCGCGGCTCACGACAGAGGAGGATCGACGCCTTGTTGTCAGTGAACAAGGTCGGTGCAGAGCTCGGCCGCTCACCAAGGTCGGCGAGCAAGAAGGTCAACCAACGCAACTCCTGTGCCGCCATGGCACCAGCGTAAATCTCAGCCTCAGTTGTAGAGGTCGAGACAGAAGAGGAGCGCGTGGAACGCCAGGAAACAGCTCCAGAACCCAGACTGAAACAGTACCCCTGAGTAGACCTGTGAGTCTCAGCGTCGTCAGCGTAAGAGGAGTCACAGTGACCAGTGAGTACGACAGAGTGCTGCCCTCCAAGAACTAGCCCCACGCCTGATGTAGTCGCTAGGTACTTCGCCACCCTCACAGCTGCCGTCCAGTGAACAGGACGGTGTCTCCCTGGTGCAACAAAGCGCGCAAGGATGCTGAGAGGGAAGGCGAGGTCCGGGCGAGTACAAGTCATCAGGTACATGAGGCAACCCACAAGCTCTGCGTAGGGACCACTAGGCTCAAACGGCTCGTCAGGAAAGGGACCAGTGAGTCTGTGGTCAACAGCGAGAGGTGTGCGCTGTACGGTGGAGTGCTGAAGCCCGAACCGCTGAAGGACCTGCTGCACCATGTGTGACTGTGAGAGTGTAATGGTGCGAGCGGCTCTGTCCCTGGTGATCTGCAGGCCAAGGTAGTGGCGCAGCTCACCAAGATCAGTGCACGTGTGTCTCTTCTGCAGTTCGGACTTCACGTCTGCCAAAGCAACCCTGTCCGGAGTGGCGAAAACGAGGTCGTCGACGTAAACCAGAACAAAGAACGGTGTGGAGCCACGACGAACGAACAGCGACGGGTCGGCAGAAGACGGCTGGAACCCAAGGTCAGAGAGGGTAGAACGCAGAGTGTCGTGCCACTCACGAGGGGCCTGGCGAAGACCGTAAACAGGTCGCCTCAGCCTCCACTGGGTCCCAGGAGGGAAGGTGCCAGTGAAGGCCGAGGGACGACGCAACCAGACCTCCTCGTGTAGGCTGCCCTGAAGGAAAGCAGTGGAGAAGTCGAGAGAGTGTAACTCGTAGTCTCTCTGTGCTGCTACGTGTAGTAACACCCGAAGAGTGGTCATCTTCGGGGTAGGTGCGAAGGTCTGAAAGAAGTCAACTCCCTCGCGCTGACTGAAACCTCTAGCCACGTAGCGCGCCTTGAAGACCGGGGGAGATCCCGGTGGCCGCTTCACCCTGTAGATCCACATGCCGTCGACTACGTTCGGCCCAGGGGGGGGAACCTCATCGACGTAGGTGCCTGTGGATCTGTAGGAGGCCATCTCTGCGTCCATGGCAGCTCTCCACTGAGAGGCCCAAGGCCCTGACACTGCCTCAGCGTAAGTGGGAGGAGTCGGAATGTCAAGGGCGTCGGGGTCACCCTCAGGGGCGAGGAGCATGGCACAGAGATGAGGGGAAGCGGCCGCCAGGAACTCTAGCTCAAACTGCCTGTCCTCTAGGGCGTCACAGCCAAGGGCAGACACACCCCCGACGGCTAGAGGACTGGTAGGAGGAGCAGCCACAAGCGTGGTGGCGTAGTCAAGGCGGCGGGTAGAGGCAAAGTCAGTAACTGCGGCAGTAAGAGCGGACACAGAGGACACAGAGGCACGAGGGTGAGTAACAAGAGAGGCGAGAACACGAGAGAGAACAGGACGGTACGTGCGGTAGTAGTCAGTGACAGGAGTAGGGAGCGACACAGTGAGGGCCGACTCAGGAGGAGACGGAAGCACAGACTGAGACGGACGAGGTGGACTAGAAAGAAGGAAGGCAGTACGAAGGTCAGTGAAGGGAACAGGAGACGAGGGACGAGCACGAGGGGAGCGACGAGTAGCCCAAGAACGAGACGGAGGAGGAGAGGACAAAGGCGGAGAACTGGCGAAAACAGCGGGGGAGGAGTCAGGAGGAGGAAACGTGGGACCGTAGACAGGAGGAGAGGCGGAGGAGGGAGGAGAAGGGGAGGGGAGACCAAGGGTCCGAAGACCCGAGACAGGAGGAGGAAGTGGCTGCTGCTGCTGCTGCTGCGACTGCTGCTGCTGCGGAAGCGGCTGCTGCTGGGACTGCTGCTCCTGCGGGTCCAGCTGCTGCTTCTGCTGCTGCTGCTCCTGCGGCTCCAGCTGCTGCTGCTGCTCCTCCAGCCGCTGTAACTCCCTCTCCTCTCTCTCCAACGCCAGCTGCTCGTCACAGGCACGGCGAACACGAGCCTGGTGCCTAGTCGGGTAGGGGTGGGGGGGCGGAGTAGTGTCCGAAGCAGCGGTAGCTCCAGAGTCCACCCCCGAAGAACCAGGCGCACCACCCCCAGAGGCAGCACTAACACCAGCTCCAGACCCAGGCTCGCCAGAACCCGAAGGAGGCGCACTCTCACCCCCAGTGTCCGCGCGACCAGCACCAGCTCCCGGACGACAAGAGTCCTCTGCACCCACCGGGTCAGCTCCAACTCCAGAACCAGAAACTCCAGCTCCAACTCCAGCTCCAACCCTAGTACCCCCAGAACCAGAAACTCCAGTGCCAACTCCAGCTCCAACTCCAGCTCCAACTCCAGCTCCAACTCCACCACCCCCAGAACCAGAAACCGGTACAGGAACAGGCGCAGCACCAACCTCTCGAGAGCTAGCACCTGCGGCACGCTGCGAGGAGGACTGTGGGGAGAGGGCGCTAGGCTCGGTACTAGGCGCGGTAACAACGGAACCGGTACGAACGAGAGGTAGGATCAGGCTCGGGAGGGACGAACGGAGAACGGAGGAACGGGATCCCACAGGATCCTAACCTAGCTGATACCATGTCAAAATGAGGAATGATGATGCCATTGATGTTGGTTGGGGTACATATAACAAACCCTAACTTCTGTACCCCCTAAGACAAACCTCACTACAGGCTACAACATTTGACACAGCCTGCATTTTTTAGTGAGGCTGATTAGTCAGCGTTTTTTTAGGTGACTTGTCTGAAAAATCAGAATTTTTTTTTGAACCAACTCTGACTGATCAACCTAGCGTAGCCTGCTAAGGCTGACGTCTCAGCCAAGCTAAAAACGAATCTGAGGCCCTGTGTGACACCGTTACAGAACATGATTACCGGAATTTTGGGGTGCACATGTAGCTTATACCTGTATTGTGTGAATCTTGAACCCGGCCATTCTCCCTTCTTTCTTTACCTCCTCCGTCCCTCGCTCATTACCATCCTTCCCTTCGTGCTCCCTAAAAACCATCATAAACCACAGCAAGTTTCACCTCCATTCCATTGATACACATGCCTCTGTGCCTTGTTTCACCAGTTTAAAAACACATGGGCACGACAAATACAATCAGCACAGCCTAATCAACTGGCACACACAGCAGACTCATCAGCACCACTGCCAACCCCATGCCCAGCACCTGCAGCACCAGCAGCAGCGCGTGCTTTCACTGCCCACGGCAGCCGGCTGTTGGAGCGCCGCCCCATGGCGCGCTTCACATGGGCCTCGCCCTCCTCCAGCGGGGGAGGCGGCGAGGCCGTGAGGCACACAGCAACGACCGTGAGGTTGTCCCACGCGCCTCTCCTCAGCGCCTCTGCCACCAGCTCCTCGGCGCACTTCTGCGGGTCGTTGTGTGTGCGCAGCTGCCTGCGTGCATAGTCCACTGCGTTCTCACTGCGGAACACGTCCCAGAGCCCATCACTGGCGAGCAGCAGGAACTCGTCCTCGTCGGTCAGTGTGATCTCCCACACGTCGGGACTTGCAATGAGCGGCCCTTTGCTCACCCCCGAACACACGTGCCGCTGCTGCTTGTGCTCCCAGCGAGTCGACGAGGCGTGCGTGTGGTGCTGAGAGTGATGGTGGGAGTGGAAGGGCCAGCCGAGGGAGCGGTAGAGGTGGCTCCAGTGCTGCTTGTGCCCGTGGAAGCGAGAGCGCACTGCCCCGCCGTGACTGTGGTCTCGAGGAGATGGGTAGTGCCGAGGATGTGTTACATGCTGGGGAAAGGCCTCCCCGTTTTGCCGTTCATCCACAGTAGAAGCAATTTCTTCAGTCCGGAGCGAGTGGGGCTCAGTGGCGGTGGAGAGGGGAGTTGGAGTGGGTGAGGAGGGCACAGGAGGCGAGGGGTCATGTGCAGTTGGTGCAGAGGCAGCAGGTGGTGGAGAAGGGGAATCACTTGAAATGTGTGATGACTTGAGGTCCTGCCACAAAGAAAGACATAGGGAAGTGAGCTTTGAGAAGACATGGAAAGAAGACATGGAAAGTAGCACCAGAATGCATAATCACAAGCCGTCGCCTTCCTGAGTTCCATAATCCATGCTCCCATCTCTCACCGTTCCCCTGCACAGAATGAACACTTACGCCTCTCCTCCTCACTCTTCCTCACACCCGGTCAGCACACAACATGCAGGCAAGAGCTGGTCATTCTACCCATGGTGCATGTGGGACTGGCAAGAGTCTGACCTTAAGATGCCAGTTGCCGAGCGCACGTGTGACCATGAGGTACCCGTTCAAGTAGCCGTCCACCACGTGCCCCCCTGCTGCCTCCACCCGCTGCCGCTCCGAGTGGCAGTGCGACGCACGGTGGTCGCGCGATAACAGGATGCTGCGGCCCCGCCGACACAGCACCGCCCTGCAGTCCCCTGCGTTTGCCACCACCAACGACCTGCCACATGGGGATGGGAACGATGGGTGGTATCATTAGTGTTAAATGTGTGCACACATATAGATGCGCACATGAATAGATACACACACATACACACACATGGTAAGGAAGAGAAGAAAGGATTCAACAGAGAGACGAGAGACCAATGAGAGACCCTATGTTGCTTCGCTCTGCCTAGCAGTAGCTTTGTTTCGCCTACCCAATGTTGCTGTACAGTTCTTTATATTCAATGATTAGAGCCGTTCGTGAGAGAAGTGGGACAAGGGGAAAGAGGTGAGGCTGGGAAGGAAAGGGACGGCACCTGTCAGCAAGCACAGCAGTGAGAGCGGTGGTGCCGGACTTGGCGGCATGGCCGGCGGACCATGCGGAGGCGAGCTGGTGGTCCGTGGCGAGGAAGGCGCGGTGCAGCGCGCACGGCACGTGCGCCGTGAAGGCGGTATCCGCCAGCAGATGGCGCACTATCGCCCCTGCTGCAAACTCCGCCGCTTCCACTGACCCCTCGTGGCCGTCAAACACCTGGCGCATGGGATGAGGGGCGCGATGATGCGATGCAAGCAGGGAGACGGGGAGGGCGAGAGGCAGGAACGAGACGGCGTGAGTATGGGAAAGAACTCTACGTGAAGCGGCGGGAAGGAGAGTGGCGGAGGATGGGAGAGAGAACGGCAACAACATAGAGAGCATGAGAGGAACGAAGAGGGAGTGGTGAGTCAAGAGCGGGAGAAAGAGAGCGGAAATAGGAAAAAACAGAGGTGCGAGATGGAGAGGAGAAATGGGGGAGGCAGCGAGGGCGGAGGGGGGGGGGAAGGGAGAAGGGGACGAGAAGAGACCCCATGAGATTTGAAGGGACGACGTTGCCTGCACGGATCCGAAGCGGATGGCAACGGGGGCGGGAGGAGGGGGAAGGGGGGGGGGGGGGAGGTGTGGAGCATGCGGACGGGAATGAACATACCCCGTAGAACGCATAACGAGTCGGTGATGACGCCTGCTGAGGCAGCTCAGGTAGTTGCACCGTGGACGTCGGCGCGGAGAGCGGAGCGGCGGCGGCGGCGGCGGCGGCGGCGGCGGCGGCGGCGGAGGAGGAGGAGGAGGAGGAGGAGGAGGAGGAGGAGGAGGAGGAGGAGGAGGAGGAGGAGGAGGAGGAGGAGGGGGGGGGAGCGAGGAGCGGGGGAGCGGAGTGGCACCAGGCGTGCAGGTCGTCGATGGCGACGGGCACGTCCTCCATGTGCCCGCGGAACCCGTCGTGCGCGCAGCTCCCAGAACGCACGCCTGCTGCCGCCGCCATGCGCCGCGCGCTCTGCCCCTCCGCCGCGTCCCCTTGCTCCGCCTGACCCGCCGCGACGAGGCGGTGGCCGCTACAGGAACAGCAGCGCTGCGGAGGCAAGCAGGGCGGGAATTCAAAGAGCGGACGGATTGGTGAAATCTACCCCAGACATACGTGCGCGCATGCATGCGTGGAGGAAAGGGAGTTGGCGCCTGTGCGCGTGCACGAGCGCATGTATCATTGAGGGGAAGAGAATTAGTGGAGGGAGGGAGGTAGAGGGCGGTGGATGGGTGGTGATGCGGAGTAATAAAGACATGAAACCAACGGCGGAGACGGGACACAAGGTTAAGCGACCAAGTCGGGGAGATGCAAGGGGTTAAGGAGGCACCACCCCCCCAGGTACACGCGCAAGATCCAGCAGCGCAAAACCCGGTGTGCGCGCCTCACCTGAGCGGATTCAGCGCCGGTGCTTGACTGCAACGGGTCCGCGGATTCAACAGGCAAAGATGGCGCGGGTGGCGGAGATGCAGCGGCAGCGGGGTGGTGAGGATCAGAGGGGCTGGCGCAGCAGCTGATATGCCAAACAGTCACGTCGGCGGACTGATCGTGCGACGTGGACGACCACGAGCATAAGTGCGCGGAGTCGCCGCGGTGCTCATGCGGCGGTGCGCTCGGCACGTGCTGGCGCGCAACATGCGCCGATCCACGCGTTTCATCGCCGAAGCGCTCTGCGCCGACGTCGTCCGCCTGCTCCTGGCGAGCCGAGCTCAGCTGCACCTCGTCGCCTGGCGGATCACGATCGTTGCTTCGCGGCGCCACAGGGCAGTCGTTGCGGTCGGCAATCCCATCATCTCCCTGCCCTTGGACCGTGCCGCACTCATCGTCGCGCTTGCCGCCGCCTCCTGCGCCAGCAGTTGCTAGATCCAGCTGCGCTCCCTGCTCCTCCACGGCCAAGCGATCCCTGCATTCCACAACAGTCCCCGAGCCCTGGCTTTGATCCGCGTTCATCGATGCTTCAGTCATGTCACCAAACCCACCTGCTTACGGTTAACTAAGCTGCTCCTGTCCTTCTCAGGCAGCCGAGAATTATGGCAGGCAAACGTGGTGTCAACGTGAAACGTCGGCAATTACTTGGGAGGGAGTTCTATTCCACGCTTCAGCCCAACAACTCCGCGGAAGCAAAAGGGAATGGAGGATTCTCCGAGCCAGCCAATTCACCTCCACCGCCCCTTGCCTTCCCGCCGAGCCTGTTCCCTCCTCGATCTGATCACGATTCGACGTCCTTTTCCGCACCTCCAGACCAGACCGCCCCAAGACCCGCGGACCACCTGTCGCCGCTCAAAATGCCGCGTGTCCTCCCAACAGACTGGGTCTAGGTTCGGAAAAGGGCCAAGAGAGATCTGGAGCCACGAGGCTCGTAAGGTGGTTTGACGGAAAACTCTTCGGTTACAAAGTGCAACGAGTGGTCAAAACGTAGAACCCAGGGTTCCTTGCCACACGAATCACTCGAATCAGAAGCCAGAGATTGTACATGTTCACAGCACAACATGAGGGCGTGTTCGCAGGATCTGCAGAACCCCCGCCGAATCAGTAGTACTGTACTCATCCGACGGGCCAGGCCCAAATTACGTCGCCTCTGGCTATCGTGGACTGGTTTGACGGACCAGCATCAACCCCTGCGATGTTCCGTGGCAGAACCACGGAGCGTCTCGGGCCGCGGCGACTGGGTCTCGAATCGTCGAGTTACGTGGTAGCCAGATAGTGGACTGCCTGTTCTCTTGGTTCGCTGTGGACCAGGGGCTCTGTGGGAACTGCGTACCGGCCTTCACAATTATGAAGCATAATGTAAGGAATTTTCTCGGCATTCCTTACGGAGCCCGACTACATCGCGTACGGCAACAGCCGTTGTTCGCCCGTTACTGCTAACGGGACTTCGCCAACTTCGCGCGCACTGTTTTGCCAAACCTCGCACTGCTGGCCCGGCCGTGTCGGCCCACGCTTCGGGACTAGCCCGAGCCTCGCTGTCAGCATAGCACTAGCTAGCTTGCACGCACCGCGTTACCGTTTGCATGTTTCGCATATAAATGTTCGCTCATGCCTTCGCTCACATTTTGTACTTGTTTGACACCTTAGTGCAATTCTCGCTACTTCGATTCATTGCATCCGTAACACTTGGTATTCAGAGCCCCTTTCTTTCGGACCGCGCATCTCCGCACCCCAGGAAATCAACTTTTGATTTTTCACTCGAAGGGACTCACGTACCTTAGCACCTAGAAGCTCCTCTCCTCGCGTTCTCTCGTAAATGCGTGCAGCCACGACTGCGCCTAGACTAAGACGAGCCGACGCCCTTCGAAATGGCTGAACACATCGACGTCACGACTCTCACGCAGGAGCACTTGAACGATCTGTCAGAACATTATAGCTTATGCTTTTGTGTAGGCTGTAGTGGGGTAGCCCATATGGGGTACAACCCAATTAGGGTTAGTACTTGTACCCAACTCTTTCATAGTGCATTCATTCTTGTTTCAGTTTTCTCATGGTATCGAGCAGGTTCCCTCGTGGGAACTGTTCATAGGGCCCACCGATTCGATTTTTTTTCCTGCCCGGAGCGCGCTCAGCCCTTGCCCGAGTCGTCCTCCCCCCTTTCTCACTGTGTCGCGCCGCCGTAGCGGTTGTGTCGCGCCGCCCTTGACGACCCCGATCCGCCGCCCTAGCGGCCCCGTCGCCTACCCCGCGGCCCTCGAGCCGCCCTTCCCGGCCCCGATTCGCCGCCCTTTCGGCCCCGTCGCCTACCCCACGGCCCTCGCGCCGCCCTTCCCGACCCGGCCCCGCCCTTGCTGGCCCCGTCGCCTACCTGCGGCCCCGACGCCTACCTGCGGCCCCGTCGCCTACCTGCGGCCCCGTCGCCTACCTGCGGCCCCGTCGCCTACCTGCGGCCCCGTCGCCTACCTGCGGCCCCGCCGCCTACCTGCGGCCCCGCCGCCTACCTGCGGCCCCGCCGCCTACCTGCGGCCTCGCCTCCTACCTGCGGCCCCGCAGCCTACCTACGGCCCCGCCGCCTACCTGCGGCCCCGTCGCTGGCCTTCCCGGCTCAGGCGCCGCCCTTTCTCGGCCCCGACGCCCCCCCTTCCCGACTCGGCCCAGTCTCTGCTGGCCCCGTCGCCTACCTTACGGCCCCGGCGCCGCCCCCTTCCCGGCCCCGGCCCAGCCCCTGCTGGCCCCGTCGCACGCCCTTCCCGGCCCTGACCCCGCCTTCACGCGGCTCCGCCGAACTACTGCCGAGCCGCCAGCGCCACCCGAGCCGCCACGCCACCTGAGCCGCCTGAGCCGCCGTCCCGCCGAGCCGCCTGAGCCGCCCGAGCCGCTCGAGCCGCCCGAGCCGCCCGAGCCGCCGTCCCGCCGAGCCGCCCGAGCCGCCGAAGTCGCCTGAGCTGCCCGAGCCGCCCGAGCCGCCTGAGCCGCCCGAGCCGCAGAGTAGCCGAGCCGCCAAGCTGCAGTTCCTGCCGAGCCGCCGAGCTGCACTTCCTGCCGAGCTGCCGAGCCGCCAGTGCCACCCTGTCCGGTAAGAGCAGCGCCTCTGTCACTGCACTGCCCTTACCCCACTGTTCGCGCTACTAGTCTACTGCTGTCATGGCTACCCCTAGTGTCCTCGCTTTTGATGCTGAGGGTCGGGCCATTGACTTTGATGTCTGGGTAGATGACCTGCAGCTTTTCCTACAGTGCGATAGGGCAGACGGTCTCTCCCTCTTTGACCTCACCTCTGGTGCCTCTCCTGCCCCTGCTGCTGATGCTGACGCCACTGTTCGCTCACAGTGGGCCACACGCGATGCTGCTGCACGTCTTGCTGTGCGTCGCCACCTGCCTACCTCTGAGCGTGCGCACTTTAGCCAGTACAAGAGTGCTCAGACCTTGTACGACGCTGTAGTTGCACGCTACTCCTCCCCTGCCACTGCTGCACTGAGCCGCCTCATGCTACCGTACCTCTTCCCTGACCTTGCTGCCTTTCCCACAGTCGCTGACCTCATTACGCACCTCCGCACTAGTGACACTCGCTACCGCGCTGCGCTTCCTGCTGAGTTCTGCGCCAAGAACCCCCCCCCCCCCATGTACATCACTCTCTACTACATAGTCACCCGCCTCCCTGACTCCCTTCGCGTAGTCAGGGACCACTTCCTCTCAGTTTGCCCCACCACCCTCACCGTTGACCTCCTCGAGAAGGCCCTCATAGCAGCGGAGAAGAGCATAGTCGCTGTAGGAGCCTCTCGTGGTGACCCTCCCACCCCCATCTTTGAGGGGTGTTCCCCCTCCCCCCTTTTACCCTCTCTTGCCTCTGCTGCTGCGGCCGACCTCGTTGGGCTTGAGTCGGTCGGTGCGGCGTCTACCCCTAGCGGGAGACGCCGCCCTGGCAAGGGCAAGGGGGGCAGGGGCGCTGGAGGAGCTAGCGGGGGCGGTGGAGGCAGCGGTGGAGGCGGCGGAGGGAGTGGGGGTGGCGGTGGGGGTGGTGGCGGGGGTGGAGGTGTCGGTGGCGGCAGTGGAGGCGGAGGCGGCGGCGGTGGCGGTGGGAGCGGAGGTGGTGGCGGAGGTGGCGGCGGTGGAGGAGGCGGTGGCGGAGGAGGTGGAGCTGGTCGGGGTGGCGCTGCGCAGAGGGTCGGCTCCGGTTGTGGTCAGTGCCAGCAGCAGCAGCAGCAGCAGCAGCGCACTCGTGACATCCCCTCCCCTCAGCAGCTCCGTGAGTGGTACGCTGCACGCCAGCGGGGTGGGGGTACTGGTCCGTGCACCTACGTCCTACGCACCGGCGACCGCGCGAGTGAGTAGTGCGGGGGTGCACACTCCACGCAGCGATGCTTTGGCCGCCTGACAGACGCTTGGCAACACCAGTTCCCGGAGGCCACGGAGATCCCCCGCTGGGGTGAGCTGTCTAGGGCGGGAGTAGCTGTCTTTGACCTTGACTTTGATGCTATTCTTGCTGCCATGTATGCTGTGACTATTAGTGATGAGGGTGACTGTTACCGGTGTTTTCCGCCCGACCCGGGCATTGAGACTGCTGCTCTAGGCACTGGTGAGGCTGCTGCTCTAGGTGCAAGCGAGGCTGCTGCTCTAAGTGCTCGTGCGCCTGCTCCCTCACGTGCTGGTGAGTCTGCTTTCTCAGGTTCTGCGTCGGCTTCGGCCTCCCACACCTTCACCCTTGACTCGGGGCTTCTCGCTCCTTCTTTCGAGACCGCACCACACTCACGCCGCTTGGCCGCCCAGTTGCAGTCTCTCTGGCAAACCCCTCTGGGGGTCCTGTCCTTGCTCACTACTCCACTGTCCTCCTGTGTCCGGCGGCCCCTTCTGGCACCCTGTCTGGTCTTTACCTCCCCTCGTTCTCTACGAACTTGGTGAGTGGTGCTGACCTACAGGATGCGGGGGTTCACCAGTTCACTCCTGCGCATCAGCGGGTGACCCACTGCACGGACGCTCGGACAAGCCGGCACCTGGCCACGTTTACACGTCGGCCGGGGTCGAGCCTGTACACGCTGACCACTGCGTCTCCTCTAGTCACTGCGTCTGGTCAGGTAGCTGCGTCAGGTCAGGTGTTTGCTGCAGCGTCCAGGTCTGGTCCCGAGTCTGCCCCCTGCTCGTGTCGCCTCGTGTCTCACGAGACTCTCCTCTGGCACCACCGCCTTGGTCACCCCTCCCTGCTTCGTCTCCGAGGCATGGCCTCCCGTGTCCTTGTCTCTGGTCTTCCCCGGTCCCTACCTCCCCTTCCTCCGGGACCTGGCCCTACCTGCGTTCCTTGTGTCGAGGGGCGGCAGCGGGCTGCCTCTCACTCCTCTCAGTTTCCTCCGACAGAGGCCTCGCTGCAGACGCTTCACATGGACGTGTGGGGCCCGGCCCGCGTCCGTGGACAAGGTCACGAGCGCTACTTCCTGCTGGTGGTTGACGACTACTCGCGTTACACCACAGTCTTCCCCTTGCGCAGCAAGGGTGATGTCACTGCGGTGTTGATTGACTGGATCCGCGCAGCTCGTCTCCAGCTCAGG